TCCAACACCCACATTCCACAGGCCCCGGCTCGTAAGCTCATCTGTTAATGATGAGACTTATAGAGACTTACAGAGCTTCAAAGACTCGTGATTTAATCTTTTTTTTTCTTTTTTGCTTTTTGGGTCACACCTGGTAATGTGCAGGTGTTACTCCTGGTTCTGCACTCAGGAATTACTCCTGGAGGTGCTCGGGGGACCATATGGGATGCCGGGAATCGAACCCGGGTCGGCCGCGTACAAGGCAAACGCCCTACCCGCTGTGCTATCTCTCCAGCCCCTCGTGATTTAATCTTCAAAGAGATCAGCTAGCCACAAAAAGTTCTTAGCTAAACTGGTCCCCAGCTGAAAACTCTGGGGTGACCATGGGAGAGGGGTGGCCAGGTCCTTCCCAGGGTGGAAGCCCCGGTAGCTGCACTCACACCCCCAAACGTCGTCTTGCGTCCAGCTGGACTCCACAGCCTCAAGACTGAGCTCGGCAGATATGCCAAAGTGTCAAAAATTTCAGGGACACCAGGAGATTTTTGGCTGAGAACTCTGGACCTTCTTGGAGTGGGGGCGAGTGTGGGAAGTACCACCCACCCACCCCCTCCTTCCAGAAGCCCTGGGAGCCACACCCACATTCCACTCCTGCCACCAGGTAAGCTCACTGCCCAGTTAAATGTCCTGGAGTCCTGGAGCAACTCTCAGACTCTACAGTACTGACACACCAGATTAGTCGGGAGGATCACAGAAGCCAACTCAGCCGGAACGACAAACACATCAACAAAGAAGAATTAACTTGGAACAACCGCTTAGCCAATCTTCAGACAAGGATATAATGTCCCCATGGTAAGATGCAGCTCTTCCACAAATTTTCTTTTACTGAAGGACTCTCTGATGATTCCATTAGCCATTTAGCGGTAACAAGCGATATTAAATAAATTACTGTGTGCCTGCCACCTAGGCAGGCTTGAGAGGTGCTTGGAAAAATGGGGACAATGGCGAAGGGAGGTGACGGGGGGGAGGAGGAGGAGGTGGAATATTGAATTTCTATAACATGCATCGTGGACAACTTTGTAAACCGTGGTGTTTAAATAAAGTGGGGAAAGCGTTGTTTCCACCAAAATTAGGAATGTTGACGTGCAAAGTTCCTATGGGAGTGACCGCTTCCATTTTCTTGGGGTCAGCCTCATGGGGGTGCTGGGTTACGCAGTCGTTCTATGTTCAGTCCTCTGCAGAAGGGCAGGCTGTGTTCTGAAGTGGGGGGGGGGCAGTCCCCTTCCTCTTGGGGGGGTGGTCGTGTCGGGACCACCTCCGCTGTCTGTCTCTGATGTCTCATTCTCTGGCCACCGGATATGGCACTGTGTCCCTCTTGAAGTTTATATTTGCGTTTCCTGAATGATTCTGCTCACAGTTTCCGGTGCTCCTGGATCGTTGATTTTCTCCAGAGAAATGTCTATTGAGATCCTTTGCCCGTTTTTTTTTTTTCTTCAGCTGAGTTGTCTTTTTATTGTCAAGTCCAAGAGTTCTTTACATATTTCACAAAGAGTTCCCATATCAAACATGCCACTTCCAACGTTTTGCTCTCATTCTGAGGTTCTTGCCCTTTTCTTTGACGCACAAACATTTACGATTTTGAGGAATCCGAATTAGTTGTCTTTTATTTGTGGTTTGGGGGGTCAGAGCAGAGCTGGCCAAGCCCAAGGTCAGGAGGTTTACTGCCCTACTTGTATAAGGGCATCCCCCTCGGTCCACTGTCGCATACGGCACGGTAACACCTGGCTCCTGCCTTGGTCTGGGCCCCCCTCAGAACCTTTACGACTTTCTGCTCCTCCGGTCTCACTCTGCTGACTTGGCTGGGATGTTCCTGGTGACACAGAAGCGTCTCTGGGGCCGCGGGTTCCAGAACCCTGATTGGATCCGAACCCTTTCAAATCTCCGCTGAGCTGGTGAGCTCGGGGGTCGGGGGGGGTGCCCGTTGCTCTGAGAAGATGTGGGGCAGGTGGTGTAGGAGCAACCGAGTCCTCAGTTCAGAGGGCAGTTCAGAGGGTGCAACCTCCTTCCTCCTTCTGCCCATAACCCCTGGGATGAGTTTGGCCACCAAGGAGCGAGGCGCAGAGGGGAGAAACAGGCGCCACGTGGAGGAGGACGAGCTGTAAGCCAAGAGCTTCCCTGGCCCTGGGCTCTGCCCCAAACACACCCCTGATCACCCCCCGTGCCCAGGTTCCATGGGATGAAGTCCAGAGAGGTCCCCTCCGTGCCTAGGCTCCTCCTGCACCCCCAGACCACATCCCCCCCAGCCCTCCCCGCACCCTTGGGGTCCCTGCTGTGGCAACTTCAGTGCCCTTAACTCAGTGTCCTGAGCCCCCCACTCTCCATCTCTGTTCCCCGTCCTACACTGCCCAACTCCTGCCCTGGGGAGGCCAGGCTCGGGGCAGAGGGCAGGGGTCACAGGAGCCAGGCAGCCTCACCCTCTGCGGACCCCCCCACCCCCGGCCCTGGGGTCCCCACCCTCAGCGGGCCTGTGCCCCTCCCTGTCCCTCCCTCGAGGGCGGGGTCTGGTGGGGCCATAAAGCTTGCAGGGCGCCGAGGGAAAGTCTGGCGGCTGGCAGAGAAGCAGGTACTCCGAAGGGGCATGGGAGGGGACGAGGGAGGGGTTGGGGGAGGGGAGGGGAGGGAGGGGGCAGGAAGGGGTGGGGGGGAAAACGGTGGGAAGCCAGGGGGGTTGAGGGGAGCAGAAGGGGGAGCGAGAACAACCAAGACCCAGCAGGAAGAGTGGAAAGGAGGGCTGGGGCAGGGGGGAGGGGAGGGGGTCCCGGGGTGCAGGCTGAGACGCTCCCGGCCTGGAGGACCCTGACGCCCCCCCGCCCTGAGCTGTCCCCGTGCGCCTCCCCAGCTCTGGGGAGACGGATGCAAAGGGCTTGGATCCAGGGAACAGGTGCCACAGAGTAAAAAGGAACTGGGGGAGCGGGGGGTCACCCCAAGGCACCCCCAGCCCCAAAGCAGGGAGGAAACCAAAGCCGCTCTGTACGGGGCGGGACGAGGAAGCCCCGCTCTGGAAGGGGTGTGGGGCGGAGGGGGCGGGCCCCCGGGGCCTGGCGCAGGGAGGGACACGCTCCCCCGACACGGCCCAGTCCACAGATGACAGAACTGGGGCTGAGCCCGCCGGTAAACTATGGACTCTGGGTGACAGGGATGTGTCATTGCCCGTGCCCGGAGACTGGCCAGCGTCCCTCATCCCGTCCCCTTTCCTGTGGGGAGGCGAGTGGGGCTGGGGACACCGTGTGTGTCCTGCTCCTCGGCTGAGATTCTCACCCTGGACTAGAGGGCAGAGTGGACCCATTAGTGCGGGCGGGGAGATGACCAGACGCCAGGTCACCTGCTGGGTTCTGCCAGCACAGCCAGCACGGCCTCCCTCCAGGAGGTCCCTGCCCCCGACCCTGTGCCAGGGGGACAGACGAATCCCCCCGAGGAATTCCCTGGGAGGGGGGGGCACTGGCCCTGTGGCAGGGGCTGGGGTGGAGAAATGTGTCCTCACAGAGATCCCCACAGGCAGGGCGTTCCCTTGGCCAGTGCCCACCACGCCCCCCACCCCCAAGCCCATTAGTGGGCACCCAGAGCCCACCAAGAGATGGACAGCTGGGAGGGCGGAGCAGGGGGACCCCCGATCTTTCTGGCGGCGTGAGTGAGCCCTGCACCCTGTTCTATCCACGCCACCAAGAACGGCTTTTCCAGAAGCAAAGGCAGGAAGGCCCCTGGGAGCCCAGGCACACGTCCACGCTTGCCCACAGCCCTCCTGCCCAGCGCGATTGTGCCACCAAGTTCTGGGGTGACGTGCACCCCCAAATCCCACCTTCCCCCTCCCCAAGCCCCCCAAGGCCCACTGGGCCGACAGCGCCTCCTTCCTGCGGGGGGTACTTCCTCCTGCTTTTCCCCTGGGCCCAGACATAGCCCGTCCCCTGTCCATGCATGCCCTGTCCCCCACCCTAGCACCCCAGACTCTGCTCTGTGTCCAGGAAGTGAGGCACAGTCCTGTGGAAGGGGACGGCACGAGGGGGACGCTGGAAGGATGGGGTGGGGGACTCAGAGATGGGCCATCAAGGCCCAGAAGGGGGGGCTAGAGAGGAGACATGGCCAGCGGGCAGGGGGGCTTTGCACACATCCAGGGACAGACAGGAAGGACCCCAGTCCTGCTGGACACCACATGAGCCCAGAGACAGCAGGCGGCTGCTCAGGCAGGCACAGGCCATGGGGAGTCCTGAGGGACAGCCCTGACCACAGGGGAAAGGCACGTCCCCGAGTGACCCTCAGGAGGGTCTTCCTAGCAGTGAACCCCGCGGAGCCCTCGGGGTGGGGCCTCCGACCTGGTCACAGTGTAACATAAGGCCAAGACAACAGGTGGGGCCCAGGCCGGGTGTCCCGTGTCCTGAGCATGGCCAATGGTGGCTTCTCCCGACGGCCCTGGGAGGGGGACCCCAGTGTCCCTCCCCTCCAAGGTCCAAGCTGTCCCATACCTCCTGGGCCACTTCCCGGGACTCAGACCAACCGCCTGGCCCAGAGCCGATCTCGGGCAGCAGTGACCCCGCGGCCGTGGACACGGAAAGGGGTTAGTGGCTTCAGTACGGAGGTCTGCTGCCATGCCAGACACCACCAGCACCCTGGGGTGTCGGGTGAGGGCTGTTTCCAGGTCCCTGGCTGGGCTCTGGCAAAAGAAAGCTGCAGTTTGTCCTGCGGGAGGGTGTAAGGGCAGTGTCTGTCAAGGCAGAGAGGCCCTGTGGCCACTCTGAGGTTCGCAGGGACAAGGACGGAGCCCCCGTTTGGCCCGATGGAAGGAGGCCCCGGGCTCCCGCCCCAGCCCGGAGAATAAAACAACTGGGACACAGGACCTGCAGGAGGGTCACGCTGCCACACCCGGGGGGGGGGGCGAAGAAGGAACATGCAGAATCTGGGGGGAACGGGCAGGGGCGCCGGCCACCCTTGCCCGCCCCATGACCCCGCGTCTCTCTGCTGCTTCCAGAGCCATGGGTCAAGCGAGCCGGGCCCTGGGCTGGGCCGTGGCGGCCATCCTGGCCCTGCAGACCGCGACGGCGACCCCACACGCCCCCAACACCCTGGGCAGCGAGGCCGGGTTGTTCGCTGACCTGAGCGCCCAGGAGATGAAGGCCGTGAGCAGCTACCTGCAGTCCAGGAAGGACCTGGGGGCTGCAGCGGCCAGCGCGCCCGGACCATGGCCAAGAACTCGGTGTTCCTGATGGAGATGCTGTCGCCCAGGAAGCAGCACGCGCTGCGCTTCCTGGACCGCGGGGGAGCGGCGGCCGGCCCGGGAGGCCTACGTGGTCATCTTCTTCGGCGCGCAGGAGCGGCCCAACATCACCGAGTACGCCGTGGGGCCCCTGCCGTGGCCCTTACTACATGCGGGAGCTGCCCCCGCGGCCTGGGCACCAGGTGAACTGGTCCTCGCGGCCCATCTCCGAGGCCGAGTACGCCCTCCTGCATCAGCTCCTGCAGACGGCCACGCGGGCCCCTCGAGCCCTTCTTCCGGGCCACCACCGGGTTCTCCTTCCACAACTGCGGGGACCGCTGCCTGACCTTCACCGACGTGGCCCCCCGCGGCCTGGCCTCGGGCGAGCGGCGCTCCTGGTTCATCGTGCAGCGCTTCGTGACCGGCTACTTCCTGCACCCCACGGGGCTGGAGCTCCTGGTGGACCACCGCAGCACCGACGCGGGCGAGTGGCGCGTGGAGCAGGTGTGGTACAACGGCAAGTTCTACGGGACCCCCGAGGAGTTGGCCCGCAAGTACGCTGCCGGGGAGGTGGACGCCGTGGTCCTGGAGGAGGTGCTGCCCACCCCCAGCAAGGGGGAGGAGGCCGCGGAGGAGCCCCCGTTCTTCTCCAACTACCGCCCGCGGGGGGACTTCCCCTGGCCCTTCACCGAGGCCGCCCCCCGCGTGACGCAGCCCGGCGGGCCCCGCTACCAGCTGCACGGCAACACGGTGCACTACGGCGGCTGGCACTTCGCCTACCGGCTGCGCAGCTCCTCGGGCCTGCAGGTGCTGGACGTGCGCTTCGGGGGCCAGCGCGTGGCCTACGAGGTGAGCGTGCAGGAGGCCGCGGCCCTGTACGGCGGCCACACGCCCGCGGGCATGCAGACCAAGTACATCGACGTGGGCTGGGGCCTGGGCAGCGTCACGCACGAGCTGGCCCCCGGCATCGACTGCCCCGAGACGGCCACCTTCCTGGACGCGCTGCACTTCTACGACAGCGACGAGCCGGGCCGCTACCCGCGCGCGCTCTGCCTCTTCGAGATGCCCACGGGCGTGCCCCTGCGGCGCCACTTCAACTCGGACTTCTCGGGCGGCTTCAACTTCTACGGGGGCCTCAAGGGCGAGGTGCTCGTGCTGCGGACCACGTCCACCGTGTACAACTACGACTACATCTGGGACTTCATCTTCCACAACAACGGCGTGATGGAGGCCAAGGTCCACGCCACGGGCTACGTGCACGCCACCTTCTACACGCCCGACGGCGTGCGCCACGGCACCCGCCTGCACACGCACCTGCTGGGGAACATGCACACGCACCTCGTGCACTACCGCGTGGACCTGGACGTGGGAGGTAGCCCCGCCCCGCGCCCGCCCCGCCCCGCATCCTGGCAGGGGGCAGGCCCCCTGGGGACCCCGACCCTCCCCTCCACCCGCCTCCCCTCTTCTTCCTCCTCCCCTTCCTCATTCCTCTCCCCCCTCCTCCCCTCCTCTCCCTACTCCTCTGCCTCCTCCTCCTCCTCTCCCTCTTCCCCTCTCACTTCCGCCTCCTCCCCTTCCTCATCCCTCTGCCCTCCTCCTCTTCCTCCTCCCCTCACTTCCTCCTCCCCTTCCCCATCCCTCTCCTCCTCCTCCTCACCTCCTCTCCCTCCTCCTCCTCTTCCTCCTCCTCCCCTCCTGTTCCTCCTCCTCCTCTGCTCCCTCCTCCTCCTCCTCACCTCCTCCCCCTCCTCCTCCTCTTCCTCTTCCTCCTCCTCTTCCTTTTCCACCCCCTCCCCCTCCCCTTCCTCCTCCTCCCCCTCCACCTTCCCATCCTCACCCCTCCTCCTCTTCCTCTTCCTCCCCATCTTCCTCTTCGTCCTCTTCCACCCCCTCCTCCTCCCTCCCCCCTCTTCCCCTTCCTCCCTCATCTCCTCCCCATCCTCATCCCTCACCTCTCCTCTCCCTCCTGCCCCTACCCCCCTCCCCCCGCAGGCTCCAAGAACAGCTTCGAGACGCTGCGGATGACGCTGGAGAACGTCACCAACCCCTGGAGCCCCGAGCACCGCCTGGTGCAGCCGACGCTGGAGCGGACCAAGTACTCCCGGGAGCGCCAGGCCGCCTTCCGCTTCGGGCAGAAGCTGCCCCCGTACCTGCTGTTCACCAGCCCCAAGCAGAACCCCTGGGGCCACCACCGCAGCTACCGCCTGCAGCTGCACTCCATGGCCCACCAGGTGCTGCCGCCCGGCTGGCAGGAGGAGCGCGGCGTCACCTGGGCCAGGTGAGCGGACGCCGGCTCGGCGCGGGGACGGGGCGCACGGGCGCGCGCGCGCGCACCTGCACCCTCGGGCCCACACGCGTGTCCCCGCAGGTACCCCGTGGCCGTGACGCGCTTCCGGGAGTCGGAGCTGAAGAGCAGCAGCCTCTACAACCAGAACGACCCCTGGGACCCGCCCGTGGTCTTCGAGGAGTTTCTGCGCAACAACGAGAACATCGAGAACGAGGTGCGCGCCCCCCTTCCCCGCCCCGCGCCCACCCGCTCCCGCGCCCGCCCCTCCTCCTGCTCACGCGGGCGCTGTCCCCCGCAGGACCTGGTGGCCTGGGTGACCGTGGGCTTCCTGCACATCCCCCACTCGGAGGACATCCCCAACACGGCCACCCCCGGCAATGCGGTGGGCTTCCTGCTCCGGCCCTTCAACTTCTTCGCGGAGGACCCGTCCCTGGCGTCCAGGGACACGGTGATCGTGTGGCCCCGGGTCAGCGGCCCGAACTACGTGCAGCGCTGGATCCCCGAGAACCTGGCCTGCGACTCCCCCGACCCTTTCAGTTACAACGGGACATTCGGGCCGTGATGCCGGAGGGACAGGGACCAGAGACCCGCTTCTCAGGAGGCCCCATACAGAGGAATCATCCCCACCCCAGCCCACCCCAACCCCACAAGGACCCCCCCTTGAGAGCCCAAATACTATATTTACGCACCACATTAAAGAGATCCTTAAAAACAACCCAAGTCGGGTGGAGAGAGTAGCAGTGGGGGCGCTGGCCTTGCACGCGGCCGACCCGGGTCCAACCCCCACCACCAAAAGGGGCCTCCAGCACAGGAGCGATCCCTGAGCACAGAACCAGGAGTCAGCCCTGAGCACTGCCGGGCTTGGCCCCCAAGCCAAGAAGCCAAGCCAGACCAGTCCCTCCCGGGAGGCTGAGGCAGGGCCTCTCCGGGACGTGGGAGGTTTCGCCAGACCCAAGGGCCACTGATTCGACGTCTAGGGCCTAGAGATCGGCTGAGGAATAAAGGAAGCCTGCGTGCACGGGTGCGAGAGCACTAACGCCTCTCGTCAGGGCCTGCCACAGACAACCGCCGAAGTCTGCACAGCTGTTGGGGCCCCCTTGATCTGAGACCCCAAAAGCAAAGCCTGTGCTGAGGAAGAGAGGAGGGAGAGACCTGGGTGTGAGTAGAGAACAGAGTTTGTGAGTTGAGGGATAAGCAGGGAACAGAGGGTGTTCAGAGAGAGTGAGAGAGAAAGAGAGGGAATGAGAGAGTGTGAGAAGGAATGAGAGAAGAGAGGAGAGGCAGCAGCTGCCTGGTGTGGACAGGGCACAGGCGGTTCCGAGACGCAGCCGGAGGGCAAGGAGGCTGGGGCATGTGTGCAGGTGAATAATAGATGATGGGTAATGGGTAGCTGAACAGACAAACCAATCGACTGATCAATCAGTAGAAAGATAAGGTAGTAAAGGTGTGGTAAGGAGATAGTAGGTGATGGATTGATAATAGGTAGGTAGATAAGTCCTCCCCTTGCCGTAATTTTTACCAGATTCAAATACACACACACACACACACACACACACACACACGCACACACACACACACACGCTGCCCTAGGGTACCTTGGCAGTAAACTGAGGCGGTTGGACAAGGTGAGACAAGATTAGCCCAATCATTTCTCAGCTGCACGTTCTCTGAGGACTCGTCCTAAGCCCCCCGCGCGCGTGGGGACCTGTCCCCTCACCCTCTCCGGCTGTGTTGGCCCGGCTCCCCGAGGCCCGGGAGGCGTTGGCATCTGTGCCCACACCTAGCCCCGCCCTGCTCTTTTGAACAGGACAATTCCCTGTTCCGGGGCCACTTCAAAGCCCTGAGTCAGCATTCCTGACAGCAGGAGCATCTGAGAGCGATGGGCCCATAATCAGGGCGGGTGTTGGAACCAAAGGTCCAGCTGGAAAGTTCCAGAACGCCTGCCAAGCTGCAGGCTTCTCTGCTCAGGGAGCCAAAGATGGGGGTGAAGAGCTGTGCCCCCGTCGTGGCTGCAGACCAGGCCCGTCGCCCACAGCCTCACATCAGAACGCTTAGACTCGGTGTCCAGCCAGCAGATGCAGGGAGCAGGGCTCCACAAGGACACGCTGACCGGGCCGGGATCATCTCTCGGGGGAGCCCAGAGTCCCAGAGCATTGAGGAGACGAGGCAGGCAGCGCCCCTCCAAGTCTGGGGCTTGGTCCTCTGTCCACGGTGGCTCCCCTGGGACCTCTCCAAATGGCCGGGGTATGAGAGCAGCTGCACCAAGGGAACCCGGGGCCTCTGGGCAGCTGCTGGGCTCCAGTGACCTGTGCCCGGGGTCACGGACATGGCCCTGCCAACCCTACTGAGCATCTCACCCAGACGGAGACCCCGGCTCCTGCTGTGTCTCACCTGGGCGGGTCCCCAGCACCCACTGAGTGTCTCACCTGGGCGGGTCCCCAGGTCCCATGAGTGTCTCACCCGGGTGGGTCCCCCAGCACCCGCTGAGTGTCTAACCAGGGCAGGTCCCCCAGCTCAGTCCTCTGTGGGGAGCTCAGTCTGACATCGCCTCTGCCTTCTTGAAAGATGAGATATGAACCCCAATAACTTAAGATAAAATATAACTCAGATATACCCACCCCTGCTGAGTCCCCTAGGGGCAGTCTCAGGAGGGGTGAGGCCCAAGTCCCGGCAGCCGCCCCCACGCCCTAAGAGTGCCACCACCCCACGGCCTCAAGGCTGCAGGGCCAGCAAGATCCCAGGCACACGTCGGGGAGGGCTGAAAACTCCAGGCCTTCTTGGGGTCAGGGTGGAACGACCTCCCCCCACCACCCCCGTCCTTCTGGTGTTTAAATAAAGTGATGGGAAAAGTAAAAATAAAAAAAAGATGGGGAGACCAAGGGCCTGCAGGAGGCCAGCTGGCTCCGTGGTCCAGGTAGTGTCCTACTCCAGTCCTGTAACTACTGTCCTGCACGGTGTAAGTGGCCCCATCCTGGGCCTACTGCTGGGTCCAACCGGGTCTCTAACTAACCGCTCCCTTTGCACCCCCTGTGAGTGCATGGTTGTTCCAGACTAAGCAGCCGCCGCTCTTGCAAACACAGCCACAGAGAGAGCGTCAGGCCAAGAGATGGGCGCATTGCTGCCCGTTCGGCTTCTGAGGCCTCCTGCAAACAGTCGTGCCGGGGGCTCACGGCACGTCCAGATACTGTGATTGGAAGTTTCAGCTGCTTTCAGCTTCCCACACCCCACAGTGGGGCCAGGAGAATAGAACACTGCATGGGAGCAATACGACCATTGCCGGTCTGCTAAAAGCTACGCAGCTCGTGCAGAAGAGGAAAGGAACATTAATCTAAAATCGGAGGCATGGGGCTGGAGCGATAGCACAGCGGGTAGGGCGTTTGCCTTGCACGTGGCCAACCCGGCTTCGATTCCCAGCATCCCCTATGGTCCCCTGAGCACTGCCAGGAGCGACTCCTGAGTGCAAAGCCAGGCAGGAGTAACCCCTGAGCATCGCCAGGTGTGAACCCAAAAGCAAAAAACTAAACTAAAATAAAATAAAACCAGAGGTACCTGCCAGTGTGATAGTGTAGCGGGGAGGGCACTTGCCTTGCACACAGCCCAACCAGGTTCAATTCCAGCATCCCATTAGGATCCCCTGGCCCCAGCCAGAAGAGATCCCTGAGCACTGAGTGAGGAGTAAGCCCTGAGCACTGCAGGGTGTGATCCAAGAAACATAATTAATTAAAATCAGAGGTACTGAATAATCTTTGGTTGGTTTTGTTTTTTTGTTTGTTTGTTTGTTTTGCTTTTTGAGTCATATCTGGCGATGCTCAGGGGTTCCTCCTGGCTCTGCACTCAGGAATTACTCCTGGAGGTGCTCAGGGGACCCTATAGGATGCTGGAAATTGAACCCAGGTCGGCCGCGTGCAAGGCAAACGCCCTCCCCGCTGTGCTATCGCTCCAGCCCCCCCTTTAATGTTTGTTTGGGGGCCACACTGGGTGGTGTTCAGGGGTTACTCCTAGCTCTACATTCAGGCTCCGGGGACCGTATGGGGTGCCAGGGATCAAACCCGGGTCGGTCGGCCGAGTGCAAGGCAAGTGCCCTTCCTGCTGCCCTATTTCTCTGGCCCAAAGAACCACATCTCATCACCCATTAACTTAAAATGTTCCATTTTAAGAAGTGGGTTCTGACTCTTCCTTCCCTGCGCTATCTCCAGGTGCTCGGTTTCCCGAGAACCCCAGGCACTGAACAGCTGCAGTCTCTGGGGTCACCCCCGCCCCCTCACTCCCTCACCCCTACACCCCCACCCACCCACCCCACAAGCCCCCTTGTAGGACTGAAAGAAGTTACTCCGCACCGCCGCCAGTCGGGCGCTAGATGGCGCCGCTGCGCCTCTGCACCTTGGGCGAAGGTTCCCGCTGCTCAGTTTGCACCTGTGCCAGGTCCAAGTTCAGGGTCCAGGGCGCGGAGCCTGGGGAGCACCGGAAGGCAACGGAGATTAGAGAGATGCCGGCGCCTGCCCTGGCAGGGGAGGAGTCCTGACAACCCGCGTGCCCGGGGTGAGTCCCTGAATTCCCTCCCGTGGCTCCACGGCCCTCTGCCCAGGACCCCAAGGCCAGGGACGCCCCAGAGCGGGGGTCATCGCCAACAGCTTGGCTTGGAAACGCCCCCCCCCCGCCAAAGAACAGACACCTGATTGCTAGGGGCCAGGGGAGAAGCGCCGGGGACCGGATTTGCTTTGTCCCCTGGTGCAGCATTTACGGAGAGAGACTCACTGCCGGGCTCTGCCCCTTGGGGAAGCCGCAGCAGTTCTCTGGGGAAAACAAGACTCACTCTCTTTTGGCTAGTGACGGGAACAGGAAAATAAGAAAGAGAAGTTTGAGATGACTACAGCAGGAATGAGGGCCGGAGGTGCCTGCCACAGAGGCAGGGGTGGGGTGAGGTGGGGGTGGCAGGAGGGATACTGAGGACATTGGAGGTGGAGAATGGGCACTGGTGGAGGGATGGGTGCTCGATCATTGCATGACTGACACTCAGTCATGAAAGTTTGTAACTGTATCTCACAGTGATTTGATTTTTAAAAAAAAAAATGAGAGCAGGAGAAATTATATTGTAGCTGGTTTTATTCACAGGGGCTTTTATTCGCGACCGACTTGGCCGACCTGAGTTCAATTCCTCCACCCCTCTCGGAGAGCCCGGCAAGCTACGGAGAGTATCTCATCCGCGCGGCAAAGCCTGGCAAGCTCCCTGTGGTGTATTCGATATGCCAAACACAGTAACAACAAGTCTCACAATGGAGACGTTACTGGGCCCGCTCGAGCAAATCGATGAACAATGGGAGGACAGTGCTACAGTGCTTTATTCACAGACCCGTTCCATCCTTGTCGCCCCACTGAGACCCCACGAGTGATCCCTGTGATCTGTGATCCCTGAGCACAGCTGGGTGTGGGCCAACATTTTTGCAAAAAAGAGCAGACAACAGTAGCAGTTATGGGCCGTCGCTGTTGTGGTCTAGTCCGTGGTCTCCTACTCCCTCACAGACCAGCCCAGGAAGGACCTGGAGGTTAAACACCACTGATCTC